GGCAATGTGGCGCAGGTGTGGGAGGCAAACTGTCAGCTCTAATGACTGACACGACTACAGTGTCAGGCAAACATGGAGAGGAGGCCACAGAATGGGGAGAAAGAACAAACGGTACTGTGAAGCTGAGGTTGTTGTTTTTTTCAGATGGTGAATAGAGACATCGTTGTATATATAATTGTATAAGCGTAAAAGTGAAAATGAGTTTATCGTCGTGTATGCTGAAAACGAAAGAAAATCTGTGATTCTTTTGGACATGATTTTTGTTTCCTTTTTCTTTTGTTTGGTTTTGGTATTCTTTTTGTTTCGTGTTTTTTTTTTGTCTGTGGGTTGCTGTTGGGGTTGTTTGTTTTTCTCGTTTGATTTTTGTTTTTTTGGAAAGGGGTGGCGGTGGTGGTGATGGTTTCGTTTGGGGTTTGTTTTTTGCTTGTTTGTTTGTTTGTTTGTTCGTTTCTTTTTTTATTTTGGGGGAGGAGTTGTGTGCCGTTCATAAATTGCCGAGTTAATTTTTGGATGAATTTCTGGCAATGATTTATCACGAAAACATACCAAAAGATATTCAGAACCGATAAACATAATTAGGCATTACACAATAGAAATAAAAAGGCACACTGTCCTAAGGAATTGTTCAAAAAAAAAAAAGATACTGAGCAAACGAGAAAGGAGAAGACTGTGAGTTACCGTTTCTAGCAAAGTGCATGGGTACGATTCCCACGTGGTGAAGCCTATTTCATCGAAAATTATCCTTCATCCTGCTGGGATGCTGCATCGCACTCAGCCTTGGTTGGCCCTAAGGGGCAGAGTTGAAGCAGCCCGCCTTCTAAATACTTAAATTGTGTCAAAGGACCCGAAAACTTTAACAGTGGTTGGTTGGCTTGTGCTCTAGTGTGGTTTCCTCCTTCTTTCCTATCAGGTATTCTAACGTCCATGTTTCTCCTCTTCCTCTTGTTTGCACGTTACACAGTAGCCACACCTCTGATCCTAGGTACTTATATGACTTGGTTGCATTGCAAGTGTTGTAAAACTATTGTTAAAACTAAAACAAAAACGAACAATCAATCAGACAAGCAATCTATCTTGCCGCCAGAACAC